ATGTAATTGACTTGGTCATATCAATCGACTAAGTTTGAACAAATCGCAGAACCATTTTGATGCAAATGTGCATTATGTCCACTTCCAAACCTTTGTATACACTCAGATTTGTTTGTCATGTAAACTCATTGTGGTCCACGCCGAACTTGCAACAAATGCTTCACTTTAGTTGGAATGTTCAATTAATAGACAGAGATTATAGAACACGAGGCCGGTTGGATGTGCGTTGTGCAATGAAAGCAGTGGTTCTGATATTTTATTTCAGACTTGCTTTTACTATTTTTCTATATAGTAATTTGTTCATGCAACATCCTTTTGATTTAAATATGATGTTGTTCTCGTAATCTGACCACAAATAGATAAGCATAGAAAATATAGAACATTATATTTTTCTCTATATTTCATTTTCTCCTAACAAATTAATTAGAAAATGCGTTACAGATTTATTGTATTGTCGCAGCTGAATGCCCCTCAGCAAGACTTGTTGTACTGTTTGTACAGTTTCTTGAAGCCAAAGAGACCAGGCATTAACAAGGGATTTAATTGAACCCAACTACCCAACCTAACTTCTTATGGTTCAATAAGTGTCTGATCCTCTATATAAACATAGTATACCTACATAGAATTTTACAAGAACTAAAGTGTGTGTCAAGTGTGACAGCTAGGGTTGGCAAGAAAAAAGTTGCTTTCTTTCTCACTATATAGGAAATCTTTCAAATGGCAAGCATTGCAACGGTGAAGATTCTGTGTTGGGTGCTGGTTGGGATGGTGGTAGTTGCACCCAATTCTGAGGCGGCGATCTCATGTGGCTCGGTGGCTAACACCCTAGCTCCATGCCTTAACTATGTGTTGAGTGGTGGTGCGGTGCCTGCTGCTTGCTGCAATGGGATTTCTTCACTCTATAACTCACTGAAGACCACCCCCGACCGCCAAACTGTCTGCTCCTGCTTGAAATCCGTTGCTGGTTCCGCCTCTCCTACCAACTTTAAGAACGCTGCTGGCCTCCCAAGCAAATGTGGCCTCAACATTCCTTACAAGATCACCCCCTCTATTGACTGCTCCAAGTAAACACCTCTCCTCACCCCTTCTTCTCTTTGTTACTTAACGTATGCTATACAGTACTCAACAATATTAAGAAAAAATAAAACATATGCCATTCTCGTGTTGCAGGATTCAGTAAAGCAGATGAAGATGGATTTTCCTTCAGCAGCATATTATAATAGTGAATCGTATAAATAAGATCAGTTATTGGATCTACTGGCTGCTCTACCTGAAGGAAAATCTGTGTTATTTCCTGGTCATGATCTCAGTTTTTATTTTTATCTTTTTACCTAGTAGTTCGCGTTATCCTCTCTGTTGTCTGGTCTATGTGGTTGCTATCTAAATCAGTCTAATGAACATATATCTGCTAGTTTTCGCTACAGTTTCTTTCTTTTATATATTTAAAAGTAAACATATAAAATTTCTAC